TCATCACTGCAACTTGTTAAGCTTAACTGAGCTTTAGATGATTTATAAGCTATTACTCATCTGCAATCTCTGATCTAGATCTTGTTAATTACTTCTTTTTACAGTTTATTATCTTGAGTCTTGTCTATTTTCTTTTGATTTTGTTTGAGCTGTATCTGTTTGATGGATATTCTCATCTCTCACTCATGCTGTCTTCATTTTTCTTTATTTTTAAAGATCATTCAGGAGGCCATTGTTTGCTCTCTTCTTTCTCAGCAAGAAACACATGCTTTTTTTCATTCTTCATACAAAGCAGTGTGCACTATTTCTCATCCAGGTTTCTCAATTTTGCAAGTGGATACATCTTCCTTCTACATACACACATCTACATGTAATTTGTCTGTATTAATCTGAACACAGCTACAGTTTATCACTTCCTGCCTAATGACTCACCCACATTCTCTTCTCTTACTTACCCAGAAGAAACCGGCTAATGATTTTTGCCTGAGTCATGACAGGAAGTATACTATGTCATTTTCACCTCCATTTGCTACCCTCCATCGCAATGGAAGAAAGGAAGGCCTTCGGGAATTGCTGGCGCTAAATATCGTTGCTTGCTCTCAATGGCTCAATCTAGAACAGCTGTTTCAATGAGGGTATACTCACTGAGGTCAGGAGGCAAACTTCATCAGATGAACAATGATTGGAGCGCAATGGCAAAGAGAAAAAGGGGATGAGGAATGGAATGAAGCCATGGGTTGGTTCCTGCCCAACTGCCATTTCTGGTACATGTCTTCTATCGCTCTGCTGGAAAGTCTTTGTTTGCTATCATGGTTTTTTCCCCCTCCTATCCTTACTACTTCTCTGTTATTCACAGATTTCATTCACTGCACTGTGTATGGAGAGAAGGGGGAGTGAAGGGAGATTGAGTATAAAATGCATCAACATAAAGGCAGATTTTCTTCTCCTTTTCTTGCCTTGTATTTTTATTTCAGAACTGCTTCCGATTATTTTCTTTCAAGATTTTCTTTTGGAATTAGATATATCCCCTCTCTTCTGATTGTTATCCTCTGTCTCTCTCCTCCGCGTCAGAAGGCTTGGTTATTTCCGATCTTATCTAAGGAGATACCTTCTTGAAATCGCCGCCCGATCCTCCCGCAGCAAGTAGAGTCGGAGCTTTGGTTGATTGTTTGGCCGATTGCCTGAATCTCGGTCAATTCATATCTTTGCAAGACGGGGAACAATAGCTCCATAGAGTTGTTCTGCTGAAGAAAGGGGCTTCAGGTATCTAATCACAGTCCTCACAGTCGCTCCCAAGCCGGATGCTAACGCTCCATGGGAGGTGAATCTTCCTTGACCGTATTCTCAGGGCTCATCTTGTGTGTTCATATCATCGATACGGTTCATATCAAAAGACATCCTTGACGAAAGCAAATTTCCTCCGCGGCAAAAAAGGCCAGTTAAGTCAATCTATCATCAATATCACCCACGAAACCACATCGTACGAAAGAGACAGGAGATAAACCGAAAAAGAAAGAAAGAAAGAAAGAAAGAAAAAGAAAATGTGCTACTACCATGAAATAAAGTATACCTGCAACCACAACCTCTTCACCCTTATCAGATTCTGCCCAGATCTCTACCGCCAACTCCAGCGCATCAACGACCCGCGCGAACTCATGCGTACCGACATCATAGTCCCGTTCGAGGACCAGCCGCGCTGCGTCCCGCTTCGCAGTTACGAGAATATATTGAGCTCGACGCGCTCGACAAGGGAGTGTGAGCGGTGTGAAAAGTGGGCGCGGCGGGCGCGGCGGGCGCGGCGGGCGGAGGAGTCGTGGGAGTACTGGGTTAGAGGGGGACGGTAGGTAGGTGTAGTGAGGTGGTGGTATGTCCATGTACCTGCGTGGCGCCTGGGGCGTTTAGGGGAGACTTGGAATTATTCTGGTTTTTTTTGAGGAAGGGGTTTGATACCTTCTGGAGTAATATGAAAATGCGCGCTTTTGGGCTTTGGATATCTTCCTGAGGTGGTTTGTATTGGTTTGGGATCCGGATTGGCGCTTTGCCGCATTTAGGCGCATGGAATTTTTCAGGGGTAGGTAGTGATCCAGAAGCAACGTGAAATTTTTGGAGTGCCTGTTTCTCTCATTTGATTGTCATTTTCCTTAATGTCTCGTATGTTTGTCATAGATAATTCAACTCTAATGAAAGAAGATTATTTATCTACCTCCACCATCCAGCTTCCAAAAATTATTGCTAGAAAACATAGACGCGTTAGTCCCCAAATGAAGCAAGCACTACTTGGAGATGGGGTAATGATAAAAACTGATTTGCTATTCCAATACACCATTGGGGTTTTCTAGGTGACGACAATATGAACAGACACAAGAAGAAGTTATTGCAGAGCAAACAGAACGGAGTCTATTCTGCGCTGAAGTGGATTGAGGTGGAGAAAGGAAAAATAACCAATAGCTTGGAAACCAAAAATATTTGGGATAGGGGAATTAAATGACAAACCGAGAAATGCAAGGTAGTGCAAGAAAAATGAAAAGGAGGATATGAGGAAATGACAGAAACGCCACACAAATGTGCTAAGGGGTTGAGTGTAAATTAAAAAAATTATTAATAGCAAAAGAGACAGGAAATTATTAAGCTTGAGAGTTTGCACCGCAGGGAAGAGGGGGGTTAGGAGGGCGCGCCGGGGTGTGATGGGAGGAAGGAAGACTAATTTCTCAAACCACAACCGCAACTTTCATGCTCCAGATCTCTATAACCAAGGGAAACACCATCGACCGCCTCGTCGCGTTTCCTTAGTTTGAAATCGCCATGGTATCTATCGAGTGTGTCGACGACGGCATCGTCATCTAGCGGTTCGCCCATCCAAGCGTATTGGTTATCACTCCCATCAGCGCTAACGTGTGGGGATGATTTTTTATCTTTTAATAGCTTGGTGACATCATCGAGATCAAGTGAGAGGTAGTCTGCGAGGAATAAACCAACTTCGCTATTTTCGTGGTTGCCGACTAGGGGCAGTGCATCATGTGGTGAGGAGGCGTAAATATTGACATCGACAGCTGCCGGATAAAAATGTTAATATATAACCCCCGTTTTTGAAAATATAAAGCGATAAAGGGGAAAATTAATGAGAAAGGGGAAGAAAGCAACTAACCTGAATGGCCATGTGTCGACCAGCCAATTTGAGCCCGTCGACTCACCATGCTTGCAAAAGCATAGGCTCCTCCGCCATCTACAAGTTTCTGGACCTCAGAGTCCGTCGAGTCGTAAATGCCCAGTCCATCTTCCACAAGCTTCTTGCGGATATATTTATGACGGGCTGAGTCATCGGCGTCTTTGCCATCCCCATTCAAATAGTCGTCAAGGGCATTGCCGAGATGTTCAGAGGAATGGCTGGCGTTTGCAAGAACACCGGGATACCATAGGTACGCGGGGTAATCATCGTGTAGCTGTCTTGCAATGGACAAGCCGCCAGTCTCATGGTCCGATGTGGCAACAAGAATGCCAGGAGTAGAATCACTCTCAAGGAACTCCAATACCGCAGAAAAAGCTTTATCATATGCTAGAACTTCGTGGACTTGAGCGGCCGGGTCATTTCCATGGCCTGCATGGTCTATTCTCGAGCCCTCAATCATAATGAAGAAACCTTTATCACTATCCTTTGTAGCTTCACTTAAAGCTCTTAGCGCCGTTCGTGCCATCTCCTCGAGAGATGGATAGACATCGTTCACTTGGCGGCGGTCAATTTCAAAGGGAATATCCTTGGGAGCTAGAAGGCCAAGTAGGGGTAGAGTGACGTTGCTGCCCTTTTTAAGACTGTCGAATCCAGTCCGATCGTCAACGTACGAGAATCCCTTGGATTTAGCCATCTCCACCACATCTTTATCATCTCCACGGCAGCTCCCCTCGGTCGAGTTTGGTAGGAAGTGGCATCGCCCGCCTCCAATCATCAAGTCAACCATTCGACCAAGAGGGTATTCGCCAATTTCATGCTCAGCGATGAGATCTTCGTAAGATCGCATTTTGGCATGAGACGCAAAACAAGCCGGTGTAGCATCGGTAATGCGGGTCGTTACAACTAAACCAGTCATATAACCGGCCAGTTTCGCTGCCTCAAGAACAGTACCACAAGGGGTATTATCCGGAAGGACAGAAATGGCGCCATTATAACTCTTCTTCCCACACGAGAACGCAGTTGCGCCGGCCGCAGAGTCAGTAATCAGGCTGGATGTGGATCTAGTTCTGGATGAACCGATGTGGTGCTTGTCGAGCACAAGGATATCATCAATAGGCAGATTGCTCTCGAATTGTCGGAAACTTCGCGTCAGGGATAAACTAGCCGGGCCCATGCCATCTGATACCATAAATATGAGATTCCTCTTCCCTGATGGTTTCGTGTCAGGATCGAACTTCGGGCTCTGTAGTTTTTGGTGTTGGTAAAGGACAGTCAGTGTGATTACGGCCACGGTTGCGACGAGGGCCCAGGCGAAGAGTCCGAGTTCACGCCGTAACGAACGATGGCGTTCTCCATTGCGGTTTGTCGGCTGACCGGTTAAGAGGGCGTCCTCCTCCTCGCCTGATCGTTCTGATGAATCCGCGGACGGGGAGCGTTGGACGAGAAGGGGGTCAGACATGATGGCTTGAATTAAAAGGGTCCAGAGCGATTTTTGCCAGTGCGTCGTCCCAAGAAGGCGCGGAAATCTATAATTTAAGGAGAGTCTAGACACATACCACCCACATCACATCTGGGGAAGCATTGTGGTGGGTAAATCGGTAGAAGTGCTGGGGAGTTGATGGCCGGAGAATTGAAACTGACATCGGTTGACCAATTAAATTAAGCCAAGCCCCGTAACCTAGAAAGCTGAATATCAAGACGAAAATAATAAGCGTCTGTGTCATTCTCCTACGTTCATATTTTTCACAGAAGATTACATCAGTAGTCACAGTAATCAGAATGGCTATAATTGTACGTCAAGATAATCCTTGGGTCTTTCGCGGGTGATCTGGGAGCTGATGATTCTGTCTACACGGGATATGGAATACGATTCAAGGGGGAAGAAAAGCAAAGAATAAGATTGTCGTTAAAATAATAGTAATTTTAATAATAATACAAGGTATTTCTTCAGCCAGTTGACGTCTTTCTCCTTATCCAACAAATAGATACTATGGTTTTGGTTTCCACCCAAGCGGTATCAGAGCAGCAGCAACCTCTTGCACGCCTCTCTCCGTAGCTAGGAGATTAAATTGGCCTGCCGCATTCCTGGTATCCTGAACCTCGATCCGGATACCAAGAAGATTAATCTGTCTCCGCGTCTCTGGAGAGATAGGATAGACAGAGGCGCCCAACCCAAGAATAAGAAGATCTAAAAACCATTGCCATATTATTAGCCTTCATAATTCGGTGAAGGATGAATAGTAGAAGCGAAACAAGCAACCCGTTCACAAAAATGGAGGGACGCTACGGTTGGAAAAAGAAAAAATATATAGAAAAAACAAGGATAGAACTCACCAGGTTTCGGCCACACCAACTTCAACACGCCCCAAACCTCCTCACTAACCTCCCACTGTCCCTTCTCATTAATCATCGCTCTCATCCCACCCCCACTATCACCACCACCTTTGCCGGTCTCCCAAGGCCTCCACCTAAAAACCTCACCATCAACTAACAAACACCCATCTCCATCTGTAATCCTCACCCCATTATCCAGCTGGAACCCATCTGGCAAGCACGCATCAATGGCCGTCGATGGAGCCGCTACGTCCGCAAGCACATTCAGCGCACTAAGCGTTGATTCACTGGCCATGTCCCTGTCGAGTCCTTCTGCTTCGTCAGCGTCGGTATCGCGGACGTAGTGGCGACTAGGGTTGCGGTTGCTGTCATCACTGACATTGCGCGGTTGGGATTGCGGCTGGTGGCCTTGGTTTTTATTCTTGTTGGAGGAGTCGGAGAAGCAGGTTGTGGTCGTAGTGAAGTTGCGGAGGGAAGGGAGAGATGGCTGGTTAAGGGTGTTCAGGTACTGGGTTGCGGGAGGGAGAGTTCGGGGCCGTAACGAATATCTACATATTGCGAATGATGCGGGTGTTGCTGGTGGTAAAAGTGTATGTGATGCTGTCGAAGAGTGCAATGACCGGAGAAGCCGGGCGGCCGGTGTCTGGAGCCGCATTGTGAGTCGGGCAACTTAGAAGATGGAGGTGGAATCGCTACGCTTTCTTTTCAATGCGCGATATAGTTAGGAAATATTGTAATAGATGACAATAATTATCCTGGTAAATCAACAATTGATGATGCTAGATAAACGGAATGCTCTGCGATCTCACTGAAGCTCTTTTGTCCGATGGATGAAGGTGGACAGAACTCACAGCGTATCGTTTCGTTTATCACTTCCGGATAAAGGAAAAAATGTAGTAGAAAGTAAATTAGAATTTGGCCTGGTTATAAAATCGCTGGCTTCCTCCGCCGGGTTCAACAAAGCTTGGAATAAGCGCGCCTTGGCGATATCGCGCCAAGTCTGGCTCGCAACACTTAAAGTTCCGCTCCGCTGTTAGCTTGGTTGGTTCTCCGCTCTCCTAGATTCCTCTACAAGTTCGGCATCACATCACACCTCACACAGGACAAGTGCAATAATGGTACTATTACTACTCGATCCAAGTTACTCTCGGTTTGTTTTCATTTGTCCAGATATAGACGCCCCACAACGCCACTGGCAGCATGATCATCCCAACAACCAACTTAAAATGAACTTAATTGCTTCGCATTGAAAGGTATCTAGCTATTACGTCTATGTTGGTCTACTATGAACCGGCCACAGAATCAGAAGTATCCGACCTGGGGGGAGGGGTTCTTTTCTTTTTTAATAAAAGGCAATCATTAATTCCCCACAACACTGTTCCGCCCCAGAGCGGAATGGCCCTAATAAAGCTACGGGGCAAAACCATACAATTTCGCAGCAGAAGATAATTTCAAATCACCTTCAAAAGTGATTCGTAAACAGAAAGAAAATGAAGAAAATGAGCACGGCTTACCAACAACACCCCCGCCGACCCACCTAACGCCAGCCAAAAGATTTCGCAACTATTCCACAGGTGCATTAACTGACCCTTACTGGAAACACCTCCTATCCTTCCCTCCTTTTTTCTTTTGCCCCTTTCCGTTTCATCTTCCTCTGTTCTAGTCAACAAGTTCCACGAGGTCCTGAATGCTGGATGGCTATCTCCGAGGATATTTCATCATGTGATCTCTACCGAGTATAACCATTGCCGTCTGCTAGCTGAGGGAAGATCTTTCCAGTCTCGAACTCGGGCCATTTCTCTCCTCATCTGATTGGCTAGAGCTGTCGTCACCCCCCGCCGCGGGCGCGCTGCGTAAACGTTCGGCGCGGTCTTGTAACACCTGCGCCTCTGCAGCTGCTCTCTGGGCACGAATCTGTTTCCGCCACATGCTTGCGTATCTTCCCTTTAAGCTAAGAAGCTGTTCATGAGTTCCGCATTCGGCCACTTGTCCGTTATGTAGCACAAGGATTTGATCTGCTGTCGTTATCGTGCTCAGGCGATGTGCAATAACAAGCATCGTGCGACCTTTGGACAATGTTGACAGCGCTCCTTGGATATGTTCCTCCGTTTCCGTGTCCAAGGCAGCAGTGGCCTCGTCGAGAAGAATGATCCGGGGATTTTTGATAATCGTGCGCGCAATAGCCACACGCTGTTTCTCTCCTCCGCTCAAACGTAGGCCTCGTTCGCCCACTTTCGTTTGATAGCCGTCGGGGAATGCGAGAATCTTGTCATGGATGCTCGCGGCCCGACACGCAGCGTAAACTTCCTCGTCCGTAGCAGCCGGGTTTGCATACTTGAGATTATACATTAATGTTTCATTGAAAAGAACGGTATCTTGAGGTACAACACCAATATGTCGACGAACTGAATCAATCGTTAGGTTCTCAACTTTGTGTCCGTCAATAAGGATATGACCCAGGGAAGCATTGTAGAACCTGAATAGAAGTCGGAAAACGGTCGATTTTCCCCCGCCAGATTCGCCAACCAGGGCGGTTGTTGTTCCAGGTCGGCAATGGAAACTCAAACCATTCAATGCAGGTTTACGGGTATCGTATGCAAACCTCACTTCTTTGAAGATAATCTCGCCATTGCACCGCGGAAGTTCGCGTGTGTTGGGTCCATCAACGACAGTTGGCTGTTCCCTGAAAAGTTCCAACATCCTCTCCGAATTTATCATTGCAGACTGGATAGAGCGGAAAAATGTCCCAAAGAAGTTAAGTGGTCCTTGCAGCTGCGCCATGTACGTCAATAAAGTAACGAACTTCCCAACCTTCTGTTCGCCTGTTGCAACTTGATAGGCAGCGAGGAAGCATGTGATCAGCAGTCCCAGCATGAAGACAGTATTTTGGCAGGTATTCATTAGCGTCAGAGAAAATAAAACATGATACTCGGCCTTTTGGAAATCGGTAACAGCTCCACGATACCGGCCAAATTCGTACTGCTCTGCGTTGAAATATTTCACGGTTTCGTAAGACACCATCGAATCGTTTCTATAGAAAATGAGTCCGTCAGTCAGCAGAGATTTTCCGAGTAATCTTCGAAATAGGATCCACTCACTTCACAGCATCTTCTTGCCTACTCGCATTGACCATCTGGCGGCGGATGGCGGCCCTCCATTGCGCCATGCGAATGGTCACATAGAGGTAGATAAAAGTAACGATTGCCACTACTAGGGCGTAGTATACGTCGAAAACAATCCAAAAATAACCCACAGCGACGCAGAGATCGATCAGCATGGGCACAACCTGGAACGTAAACTGTTCGAGGAACGTGTTGATAGAATTGCCTTTACTTAATGCCGACAACACTTCGCCAGTCTTTTTGCCTAGATGGAAATCGAGACTCAGGCTATGAACATGTTCAAAAGCAGCTGTTGACAGTTCCATGTATGAATACTGTCCAACAGGAATCCATAAAAAGGAGCGCAAGGAACCGATTAAGCCCTGACTCCCCTGTAACCAACGGAAGAAAACATAGAGGCAAATGCCACGCCATGGAATGTAAAATTCTTCTCCAGTCTCTCCGGAGAGGACGTTGGTTATTCTACCAATCTGAATGGGAACCATGACATTGATGACAAGCTGGAGAATGACCAGGAAAAAACAGGCTACAACTGTCAGCTGCAGCCGTCGCGATTTGGATGGCCAGAGGTAAGGAAAAAATAAGGAATAGCCGCTGAGATATTCCCACCAGCTGGTTGAAGGTACAGTAGTCGGTCGAACCCAGGCGTCCTCTGCTGGTTTAGGATCTGGATCATGTTTTCGGTTGGGAGATGACCCGTAGCCATCACCATTCATTCCGCTAAGATGACCATTTAACAACCTTGTGGTCTCTGAAGCTTCCCTGGAAGCGAACCGTGCAGTATCTTTGCGACGACGGCTTTCCCATCCAATGGAATTTAGGGTATAGAAAACAACAATGCCAAGCAAGGTAAGAACCCTCACTACAGCAATTATTATTTCCACTGTTTCCCAGGAGGTCATGGTATTCCTTAGAGGACCACCAGCAGGATTCCCAACAATTGGCTCATGGTGAGGGGATGTGTAAAGGGCCAAACAACCGCCCAATATTATCAATTCCAATGGTATGGTGAGGGTCCAAGGAAGCAGTTGGGCGTAAGTCGGTGAGGGTGTTGTATCCACGAGCGAAATTAGGATTACGGTATATGCGAAAAACGAAAACACGATGTAAATCTAAAATTCATTTGTTAGTGACAAAATTCAGCTGCGAAATTTTGCATCAAAGTTAAAAAAAGAATATTGGGGTCTCACCACTCTGGATTGACCACACCACCAATGCATTTGACGATCTACGATGACGTGTGTCATAGTAATAGCCGCATCGGCGACAAATGTAAGCAAAACACCCACTGACAGCCACTTGAATGTCAACTTAGCATTTGGAGAGAAATCAGACACAGGTGGAGCAAACACGGCAGTACTCCGCATGCGCGTCGGTAGCGGTCGACCACCTGGTCCTGTTCGAATGGCGGGAGGATGGGCAGGTACTTTCCTGGCCGATATGATAGAGCGGGATACAAACGCTAAGAGGAAGACAACAACAATGATCACAGGGGATATCGACCTGGTGTAATCTAGAAGTCTCCTGATCTCGGTGTGGGAAAATGATGGCGCGCTGCCAGCACTGCCGGAGAAATCCATTCTGCCTCTAGCAACAATTCCAATGCTAAGCCCGCAAAACAAAAAGAAGAAAAGGAAAAGAGCCTCCCGCGTTCAATCCGCTTCCATGACAAAACCACTAGGGCTTCAAAAATGTGTAATGCTGCAGAACGACTAGTTACGAAGCTGAACAAACGATATTGAGCTCGAGCCGAACGGGTGCAGGTTTGAAGTCGTCGGGGAACGAAATAGTAGCCGGAATAGGTGAATTGCCGATTGTCTCACTTCTGGACTCAGCTAAACAGATGAGACTATGGCCAGGCGCAGAGGTGAAGACTTTCGAAAGAGCGCGGGGAGAGAGATAATGAGAGTAGAAGACAAAGTATCAATTTTGGCGTCAGCGTTGTTCGAGCCACGGAAGCGAATTGGGCGTGTACAAAAAGCGGTAAACAAGCGAAGGGGACCTAGGCGGATTGCCGAACTCCAGGAAACTGCGGCGGAGAGGAAAGAGCCACCCTGCTACTACTGCAGTGGAGAGAAGGAAAGAAGAGTCATGGGCGGAATCAGCTCAGGAGAATGATGGGAGACAAAAATTCAGCGATAGGGAAGGACCAAGGAACACTCTGATGCTCGAGCACAGCTATCGCGAGAGTAGCTTCGGTGCAGAAGGATCGGTAATGAAGAGGAGCCCAATATGGGTTAGAGTACAGGATGAGGCGTGGGGAAACAAAAGAGGGAGAAGAGAAAAGAAGGAGAAGAAGAAGAGAAGAGGAAGAGAAAGAGAAATGAAGAGGCAGAAGAAAGTCTGGAAGGAATTAATTATGGGGGTGTGGCGGGAGTTGGTCGGACTTTCCGAGGCGCTGGAGCTTGGGAAGGTTGGCTTCGATCTATGGATAAGATCTCCAGCGGCACGGGACCTGCGCTGGGGCAAAAAAATTATATATCAGACTCAGGCCGAGTGGAATAGGCCGAACCAGACAAACGGCAGAACCCAGCAAACAACCAGCTAGTCAAGTCGGGCGTATTTATTCAATTGAATCAATAAATCAATTGTGATTCTTGCGGATCTCTCCCGCACCTCCTCCCCCGTCGTAGGTTCCTCTCCCTCTCAGGCCTGTTCCCGTTCCCCTGCTACCTTTCCCTTGAACTTCCCTATTTCCCCAACCCTCCAAGCCCCTTTTGTAGCGTGGTGATTCGTCGGGCGGTGTATTTTATTTTTATTTTTATTTTTATTTATTTTTTTGCAGACGAGTCGGTGAGCGGTCGCAGAAGCTATATAAGGCGGTGAGGCCGCTTCAGTGGCCCCGGCAGAAAAGATTCCTCGTCGCCAATGACACGCCAGTCGGGGAGACACGGAGACCTCCAGGCTAGCAGGGATGGCTGGGATAGCCGGTTCTTGCGCGTGGCCTGTCGCCGCTGTTCGCTTTTCCCTGTACTCGGTAACCAGCTGCAGCGCGTAAACGCTGGGCCTGTGCCGCCGCCGCAGTGGGGGTGGGGAGTGGGGAGTGGGGATTTTGGATTTCGTCAAGGTGTTCCTGCTCCGTCTGTTCTGTTGCGTGATGCGCGCTACCGGTCAGCAGCCCATTCAAGCCAAGGATAATATCGAGGGCAGGAACATACTGAGTACTTCACGGATCATTTGCGACCAAGATCTCGGGGTGGAATGATCACGGAGCCGCAATCGCAGGGTGGGACGGCAAAAAAAAAAAACTACTGGGATTTCGAGAATAGATGAGATGCATTTCCTTGAATATGCACTGCTGAGGTAGCGATTTCAAGACTTCAGCTTTCTTATATGTCGCGCGCTACAGAGTAGCTAAGCTACCTTCGAATTTTACGACTACTACGGCACTCGAAGGAATCATTCCCTTACGCCAACTAAGCCTTCCAAGGTTGCTTTGTTGTCAATTTGTGTATCATACGAAGAAATATTACTCTTGGTCGTGTGCGGTTTGCGTTGGCTAGAATTGATGTCCGCTAAGCCTATCAACTATCGAATCTCCAGCTAAGTTATTTTTCTTCTTCCCTCGCTTACGGCTATGATCTCTTGCATACAACTATGCCTATTTCAACAGCAATGCTGCTGCAATCAGTTTTCATGCTGCTCGTGGCTGCCACGGTCGATCTCGCATCGTTAGGCATGTCAGAAAATACAATCCTGTTTAGACCCGGGGCTTGATGGGGATGTGAAATGGCTAGTTTTTCTAGTCGATGCATCATCTTGCTGTAGCTAGCGCAACCTTGTGGTATGGATGGTAGGATGGCGGCAAAGTGATGGAGGAGGCGTATTTTATCAATCACCGACAACAAACACATGAAAATTGGTGCTGCATGAGGCGAAAATATCATTCGCCAGTAGTCCACGACCCAGTCAGTTTGGCCTTAGTTACTCGTACAGTGTACTTCCGTTGCTAATCAACCTGCATCGTCGGGGAAAAAAAACAATTTGCATCACCGTCCGGATTTCAATTGGGGTATTTTAAGAAAACTTCATTGATTGTGGTATATCATATCTAAAAAGGAACAAGAAAACATACCTTGACTATGAAGGCTGCGGGCAAGATTGTTTGGGATTAATCCAATCCCATAGAAGCGGTAAGAAGACGGCTCCTTTTCTCATTCTTCAGGCACAAATCGCGCTGCCCGAACCCTCCCCTCATGCTCTTCTTACACCAGTGCCTGGCTGCGAGGAACAAGCGTCCACAAAAATTGGAAGATAGAAATTAGAGAAGCAAAGGAAATTTTTCATTCTAATTTTTATCTTTTTATCTTTTTATCTTTTTATCACTTTTATCAATGGCTTTGCTCCAAGCCCAGAACGCTGTACATTCCATGAACCCCCCCCCTGCGGGGCCAAGCCAAGCGGCGACGGAGACCGCACATTGCGCTGTAACGCCAACTGTTAAAAAGAAATACCTTGTCTTGCCTCTTTTGACAAAGAGCTTCAAGAAGATAAAACGAGATAAAATAAAGTGACCAACTCAAGAGAACAAGTGCAAACTGAGAACGACAAAAAAAATTCAACACAGAAAAACAGAATTCAATCACTAACTACCCAATTCTGCATGCTGACGGGCTGATTCTGGTCGTCTCCCTACCACCCGAAGCGGCTGACTTCGTGTAAATTGCTGTATGGCCGTGCCCTGTCCGATGATCCGTGGAGCCGGGACTTGGGTCTGGCTCTCGTCGACGTAATTCTGCTGGCGCTTGGTCACCCCCCAAGCCCATCTCGGACGTCTCGATTGTTCAAAGGATGGAAAAAGAAATACTCCTTGATGATTGGAATGGCCAGAGAGTGGTCGCGGCCGCTTACGCTGTAGTAGTGCCATTTCTTGAATGCGACTGTGATTGAAAAACAGATGTGAGAGGGCCTTTAGGGAAAGTCGTCACTCCCAGGTTATTATTCCCCCCCGGCCCTTTTCTTTCATTCATGTTGTGGTCAAACCCATGCATGGCAAGGGCTCAGTTATGTCACTTTTTGTCACCCGCCCTCTGATGCATCACATTCCCTTCGTTTGTATCCAAACCGCACACCCCCTCTACTCCCACCATAAAAAATGTATGCTGGTTTCTGCCTTAATTCATTTATTGAAGCATTGCCCGACCTTCCCGACAAGGAGGAAGGTCATGTACTGGGGGCGGAAGTTTAAAATTCTTCCTTGATGGGCGGCCACTGCTCATCGGACGCTCGCTCACGCGACTATCTTGCATGCACGGCTAACTTAAGGACCGCCGAATTTAAAATACCCTCTTCGGACTTCAAAATTGATGATCCCTGGGGGCCGTTTGCCAGCCACGGGGTCTAGAATCACTCCACTCTCGGAAGTATCATGGGATAAAGTTAATTCATGATTATTCTTACAATAGGACGCCTCCCCAATAGCATTTATACAGCGTCTGTATATATATATATGCTGGACTCTTTACCTGCATGCACAATAAAACCAAACTGGAGGATATTGAGAGCCGTCATTTTTCTCACTGCTCAATACAGGCTACTCCTAGTTGATTCGCCTACAGACACCTTTATTTATCCCCGGAACAGATGTTGCCTGTAAAACCTCGCAAAGTTTCCATGGAACTTGCCCATTTTGACCTGTCTGCGGGAAGTCCGTTTACTTTCCCGTCCTGGGAACTATCGGCCTGCCGCATTATAAGTTACAAACTTAGTTACGCTAAATCCAGATCTGGACTGCTGGATCGGGAATCTACCCTCATTTCAACCGGTTGCGAATTGCTTTTTTTTTTTTTTTTTTTTTTTTTTTTTTTTTTTTTTCTAAGTCACACTCTTCTGAGTACTAAGCTCTTCTAATTAAATAATACCAAGACATGCCGGAAGAGATATGAATGAGTATGGCCGGGTGTTTGCTAGTTGTGATAATTTCCACACAAATGATTCAACCGTTCCGAACTCATCTCTCTAGGGACATGGTATTAAAGCGCAGACCATTCCCCGTCCTCAATCCTCACTGCTTGGAGGACGAATTCCAGCATAGGAACCGCCCAGATCAGCCGTGCCGTGCGCATCGGTAGGATCCAAGTCCATTGACAATCGTTTTGCTTATCAGAAATAAATCAACACAGTCAATTCAGGTGGGTTGGTTACACCGCGTAACATTGGGGGGGTTGAATGAAATGTATTTCCTCCTCACCATGAAACTGCTTTGGGTATCTGGGCGGTTACGACCGTCAGAAGAGTATGGGGGAAGAGGTACAAACGTGCCAAACTGATATGCAAAGTGAGATTCACGGCTTTAAGCTACATATATCCCAATGTGGGTCGCAGCCCGAGTAGCAAGAAAGCCACCTCTTCAATTGTGCCTATGGAATTTGTCGATGGCTCCATTTACATGGATCATCATGAATGGGAAAAGCCCTGTATTAAAAGAAGGATGCTTTCATTTTTCTTCGAAGCTGGATAAATCGCAACATAGATATCAGTGTTTTATGATTCTGTGCCAGCTTTTGGTGAAAAAGAAAAACCAATCAAAAGTTTTCGACCAAATTAACCAAGTCATGCATGAATATATAATTTTACACATTCCACTATATTCAATATTGACAGAAGCTTTCTTCTGCATTACTTAGATACCTTTTTCTCTATATATCCCAAAGAATCGATATTTTTATCTCAAAGTGTTGATTGGGAGATACACAGCTGACAAACTTCACTATCGGAAAGTATTCTTCTGGCCAGCCACTGTGTAAAGCGATATCTATAAACCTTGTCAATATCTATATTCGCCATGTGAATGGATATCCATCTGCTGAATTACAACCTACAAGGGGGGGGCCTTGAAATACATAGCGGCCTGAGGCAGCCATACCTTTAACAGGGAACTTTAACTGGACCCTGTCGACGACGGTCAAAGCTCCCTCTGCTGCAGCGGAAAGGGTCGAGTCCCTGTGTTGAAGCTGGTGGCGGAAGCTCTGTGGGGTTGTAACTGGGGAGGAAATAGGGCCGATTTCCAAATTATTGGTTGTAAGTACAAGACATGAATTGAGAAGTTTGAGTCGAGAAGAGCGACGAAGGCCTAGAGTAGAGTTAGTTAATTACATCCATGGATATTAATTATTTTCTGTTCTCGGTCTACAGAGCCCCTCATCTTAGTCAATGGAATCCTCACGCCTTTTGTCCTTGCATATTCCAATATAGATTTGAGCTGTCATGTTGGGTTCTGTGCCCCTCGTCATGTATGTCTTGGAAGCCCTAAGGCCGACCAATGCAGGGTCCACACCTCCTGCGAATCATGAATCCCTCCAGTAAGAAGGATAAAGCTAATTGCGCACAGAGCAATGCGATTCTAGAACATCGCATGTCTTATATCAACTGTGTTGACTGACTTGGTGTGAGCAGGGTCTTTCTCAGAGGTGGACTTCTCAGAGCTGATAGGCCAGGAGGCATTGCGGTAGTTAACTAAACTAGTTCCTTGTCATCGGCGGCCTGGCTTGGCTGACAAACTTCCGCGCCGGATTCTTGCCTAGACTCACCTGCACGCACCTCACATCCCATCTCAACAACACCCACTAGGCACCACGCTCTCTATCCACCAGGACCACCATCTCAGCTGAACTAGTTCATACCCCTCATCCCCCACGGTCCACGAAGCTTTGCCACCTTTTCGGAACCTGCTAAGAGCTTCCTCACCTTGCACTTTCAACCTTGTTCATGTTGCCCGTTACGCGGCAGTCACAAGACCCATTGGATCTCTGTTGCCTCCGTGAATCTGGTGCTGTCTGCTGCCGTTGCTGCTGCCGTTGCTGCTGCCTCCCACTCCTCTCTGTTTCTCATCCCAGCAGCTGCGGTAGAGATGGATCCGCAGTCGTCACCGGACTGCTCAGCCGCCTGGATCTGAGCTTCCAAGATGTCCGAGTCCCGCCAAAGCGAATCTCAGTCTGGCGCTGCTCCCCCTTCAGCACTTAATCATCCCCCTCCGCCACATGCGCCCTCACTATCCTCCCACCGATATACCAACCGGGCCACAAGCGCCTTTGCGCGGTTCGCACATCCTTTCATCTACGGCTCCAGGCCACCAAGCCCTCAGCCAAGTGCTCCGCAGGAGGCGCTGGTTGTCATTCACCCCTTGCACCCTCCAGTGCGGTAAGTTGCGGTGCATTGGCATGAGCCACGTGCCATTTCATTTGTTGTTTTACCGCTATTGTACAGCGCGAATACATCCTTATCTCTAACACGATCATTTTTATACGTGTTACGTTATCTAGACCTACTCCCTCACAAACCGTCGCGCTAAACACCAACGTTCATATTGCTGCCCTTGACATCTCGCCCCAACGAACACACGCCATTATCGCAGGACGCGGGATCCTCAAGACCATCCGCGTAGCGCCCGACAGCTGCGCGGAAGAATTTGACCTGCGCGAGGCTATTTTATCGTATCATTCCACCCGGCAGGTTTCAACGGGTGCCTTGTCTGCAAAGCACAAGGACCAGCTTGCCGCAAAGGATGTCAAGTGGTCTCACGGGGAATATGACCGCATCATTGCTACAGCTGCTGCCAATGGGCGCATAGTTCTCTACGACTTGAACAGGCCGGGACTCGAATTGGGCCGGCTCCAAGAACATAATCGTCAAGTTCACAAGTTAGCATTCAACCCCCATCGCGGGGCATGGCTTCTCTCTGGCAGCCAAGATGCCACTATCCGGATGTGGGATTTGCGGATGGTGTCGGGTGAAAGGGGTGCGATGAGTTTTGGTAGTAAAATAAGGTTCAATGGCCATAGCGAGGCTGTCAGAGATCTTATGTGGTCGCCGGTTGATGGCGTTGAATTTGCGACAGCTACAGATAGTGGTGCTATCCACCGCTGGGATGTTCGAAAGGACAATGCCCCGCTGATGAAGATCAATGCCCACGAAAAGGCCTGTTTTTCAATCGACTGGCACCCGCACGGAAAACATGTTGTAAGTGGCGGTACTGATAAGCAAATTAAGGTATGGGACTTTTCAACTACAGATCGGAGACAGAAGCCTTGTTTTCAGCTCCGCGCTCCGCAGGCTCTTCACAACGTGCGCTGGCGGCCCCCTTCGTGGGCTTTGGAGAATCAGGAAGTCGCAAACTGGCAGTCCACGCAAATTGTAACTTCTTATGACTATGAGGATCCCCGAATTCATATATGGGATCTACGCAGGCCTCATATCCCGTTTAAGGAGATCGATCGCTACAATCGGCCACCCACTGATCTGGTGTGGCACTCAAGTGAGCTACTATGGACAGTAGACGGCGATGGCAATTTCACCCAAACAGACATCAAATTTGCACCCCAGGTGATTCAGCGCCGGAAACCTTGTTCTGCAGCATGGAGTCCAAACGGAGACATTATCGCTGTGAATCACAAACACCCATCAAGGCGGGGATTGAACATGAGCTTAGGTCCAGCGGAATTTTTAGGCCTCAAGTCAGGAAAGCCAAGTAGCAGCGAAAAAGGGACAGCCAGCCTCAGCCTGACAGATGATGCGCTAGATGAGTCTGCTCTTTCTTCGTTGAGGAGAAGAACCAACAAAAGTGCTTATGCTAGAAGCTCCAAGTCATTGAGTGGAACTTCTCCGATGTCAGAAGACAGTCCTGCCGTTATATCTCTTGAAAAAGCCATTGCACATAGTGGTATTTTTGAGCCGAGTCAGATTGGAGCTATGGGCAGTGTTCCCGGTGCGACATTCGACCCGGAGACATTTAGATATCTTGCTAAGCACTATTCATCTCTAATGGAGAGTTCTGATAGCAAGGGTTCTTCGTCGAGCTCACTGGAGAGCCTGCACATAAGCCTTGTTAACAATGCCGATCGTGCAGAGGACGTCTCGTTATACAGGCTCGCTCAAACATGGAGGATCATCCAATACGTGGTTGCTCAAGAGCTTAAGGTTAGAGCAGAGCGCCGTGCGTCCACTCCGAAGAAAAAAAAAGAGAGCACGAAATCGAAAATATCAGATCATGACAATGCTCTTGAGAAGTCGCAAACTTTGGAAGAACCTATTCCTGATAAGCTTAAAAGTCGCCTGTTCAAAGGCGTCATAGAAACGGAGGGTTCCCCACGTGCACCGACAGATCATGAAAGCACATCAAACATGACAACCCCTCTCGCTAAGCCCTTGCCGGACTCTCCTCGCATCGAGGAGAACAACGGCGACAGTTACCGGGGCTCGGATTCTGATCACGAGTTTGATAACATCCAACCCCTACCACCATCCGTGTTAAGCTCCAGTGGACATGGGGCTGCGAAACAGAGACATTCACCAGATGCTTCAGATGTTGAAGTCGAACCAACGAGCAATAATCCCGAGCGTCGAGCTACAGTAGTCAAGGTACAAGGGTCGCCTAGGAGCTTATCACCAGATCGCTTGTCTAGGCGAGAATTAAACATGACAGACCTATTCACCGAGGGCCGGTCCGCACCTCGTGCAATTGCTGGGGGAGCAAACTGGCGTTTGCACGATCTTCCCACATATGGAAGCCGCGATCTTGAAGAGGAAGATTATGATCAAAAAGTAGAGGAAAAGAGGGCAGCTCTGCGAGATTACAAGTCATTTCCGAAGAGGATCCTGTCGCTTGACCCTCCTTCACATGACCATCCTGCCAGAGCCCGTCCGCCTGTTTCATACACACGTCACGATTCTGCGGAAAGCTTTTCGATGTTTTCTGCATCCACCGATAGCTCCCAAAGAGCCAAATCTATGGGTGAATCATATTCGCCACATTCAAAACCAGAGGAATCCTCTCGAAAGGATTCGGGTGACTGGGCAGCTGCGGCTGGGAGCTCATTGGGAAGAATAAACGAACTTGAAGTCGGGTCCCCTCCCGAATCGGTCCTTCAGAAAGCTCATAATATTCATTCTTCAGATGACTCGTCACTTGTTAGTTCACCGTCGGTGTCCAACACTGTTTATCTTGAGCGACCCCTTAGCCCTCTACCCTTCCTTGCAGAAACCTCCGTTGTAAGGGATCAATCACATCGACACACACCACAAGGTCCTCCTTCTCCAGGAAGGCCCGCACCCGAACATCGAGATCAGTCTACATATTGCCTTCTTAGAAGCTCTGAGGAAGATGGTGTCGTGCTCCCTCTCGCCCCTGACGAAGCTGACAACCTACCATGGAGTGCAAGGAATATTATCAAAGAAGCTCTTAAATATTACTACTCAAGCTCACTAGTCGACATACAATCAGCTGCTCATTTGTTGCACAAAATGCATTTGCTCTATTCCTCAATCGATGAGATTCTACCATATGAGGAGCGTGATCTTATTTTCAAATCTTATAATGAACAACTTCTTAGGCAGGGGATGTTTGTTGAAGCAGCAGAACTTCGACTACTATGTGTCCCTGACTATCCCTCTGTTTATGATTATGCGCAGCAAGATACATTTATCAATGTGTACTGTTTCGAATGCAAAAAGCCTTACGAGAACCCGGGGCGGGATAATCAGCGATGTCATCGATGCAATACTCCGCAGCCGCCGTGTACAATATGCATGAGCCGAGACCCTCCTATGGAATGGACTCTACAGGCTTCTGCCCCATTTGCACCATTCTCTACCTCCTCAGATAAGTCTTCTCAAGATAGGGATGACTGCACAGTTGGCAGTGACATTCACACCGCCTACCGCCCTCACGGCACCGCACTCTGGGCCTGGTGCCAAGGGTGCGGCCATGGTGGCCACGCAGCATGTCAAAATGTCTGGCTAAACGACATTTCCATGAGCGAGGGCGGATGCGCGACACCAGGGTGTCTTCACGATTGTGGACCAGGTCCACGGCGTCAACAGAATCGCTCCTCCCTTGTTGACGAACGCAAGCGGGTAAGGGATACTTTATCTGGACGGCAATTGAGTCGGAACTTTGCGAAGCGGGACTCGTGGACTGCTGGTGAAAGCAAGGCTGTGGAGCGGGTACGTGGGATGCTGGGTATGGCCACAACAGCAAATTCAGCGACGCCAGCAGCAACAACGTCGTCTGCTTCCACGACTCTAGCAGCGGTCACAGGCCCCCATGTAGCTAGTGGCGGCATGGTTCCAACTGCGTTGATGTCCCCGAAGAAAGTCAGGTTGGTCACCCCGAGTGAGCAAGGAGGCCACCCGCCGAACTTTAAGGGACGGGGGGTTGGAAGTGGAGCTGGACCTGGACCTGGACCTCAGCCGATTTACCATCGACATTCGATATCTGAAACTTCGTTGACGACGAAGCAACCCTAGAATTTTTTATTTTTTAATTTTTTTTAATTTAATTTAATTTAATTTTAAGCTTTTTGTTCTTCTTGTCTTGCCGGATTGCACATCTGCCAAATACCCTTTTCTCTTTTCGTTCTTGCCTCATAGTTTAAGTTATTCCTTTAGCGTGGCATATCAGACGGTCCAGGCACCGTGCACAGCATGGGCGGTTAGGGGTTGAAGGGGATTAAACTACCCTATATAACATGGGATGCCTTGGGCTTTCACCTTTCGTTTGCTTGTTTGTTATTATTTGTTATGTTTTTTGGGGAACTGGCAAGGCATTATTAGCCCTTGCAGTTTCCTTTTCCATTCCCTTAGGCTTTTTTTGGACCTCTACATTTGATGTCTTGCAATATTCCACGCGGGCTTGCAAGATGGTTGGCAGATTTTGGGAATGTATTTTAGTGTGTTTTCTGTCCATCTGCGTAGCATGGTTATTAAAGGGGGAGGAGGGCCATAGTTCGTTGGTTGATGTATCTATAGGTAAAAATGTAATTTATCAGGGTTAAAGTGTTCCTTCTACTACCCGCCTATTAACTGCTGTACCTAAAGAGGTGCGTGTTAAACGTCAGATCTCCCGGTGGATTCCTGCATTAAATTGTGGGGGGAGCGTATCTGCTATGCTGCACCACCATAATTCGCCCCTCCTTTTATAATTATTTCAGGCAACAGGGAGGGAGGCATCTGGCGATCTATACTATGCTTCGCACACGTAGACAGGAAGAATGACCGCGAAGCCTTAGTGAAGCCGGCGGGGAGTAGAGTGGCCCTTTCATTAATTAAAATAGAATGGGATGTGAGATTGCAGTGTATAAAAATGAAAAAAAGGGATATTTTTCGATTTGCAACAAGGGGTAATACATAAACTGAGAACAGACTTAAAATACCCAAGTATAAATGTCCGATTGAGATTACTGCTAAAGGCTTGCCTGCAGCTTATCTTCCGTTCGAATCACACATCTTAGCCCGGGACCTACTTCAGAATCGTCTCTTTTTCTTCGCTGGTCCTCCACCACCAGTACCTACACCTTTATTCCTCGCTTCCAACTGCTTCCTCAGTTCTGCTCTTTTCCGATTTGCTCGCTCCTCTGGGGTCTCTTCCTTTGCTTCCTGTTTGATTTCCACTTTTTCACCCAGCTCCGGTGCTAGTGGTTGTTCTGAGGTTCTTGTGGCTGTTCCATATCTAGGTGGCGGTGACAATTGAGGCATCCTTCGATCTGGTGAGGATTCCTTCTGTGACGTCGAAGCGGCTGGCTTGCCACGGCCACCGATCATTCCTAGCTTGCCACTTGAGTGTCTAAGTTTTGCTGTCTGGTGGGTCGCTGGCGATGTTTCCATTTCATCGCCGTCCTCATCATTATCGTGGTTTAGCGTTCCTAATTTCGGAGTTTCAGGGTGATCTGTAGGTGAGGTCTGCTCGTCCTTCTTCTTTCTACCGCCGATCTGACCAATTACCCCCATGCCACCAGATTTAGGTTGTGCTTTTAACGGAGGGGAGGATTTCCGTTGGCTGGCTTTTGGTAGTTCTTGCTCAGCTGGTCGTGAGACCGAGCTGTCGGTGTCATTTTCCGATTCTGTGGGCATATCGTTAGTGTCGGCAGCTTCCTTCGTTAGCTTTGGACTTGATGCTGTCCCCGGAGCGTCAGAAAGATCTGATGCTGTTGATTCGATCGGCGTTTCCTGACGCGGTTTCTCTGACTTTTTCTTCCCGGCGATGGTCCCAAGACTTCCCTTGGCTTTTGTGGTTGATTTTGGTTTAGCTGCTGCTTCAGGTTGGGCTTCAGATTCTGTGGATTCTGCTGATTCCATTGGGGAATTTTTTCGTCTTACGAGCTGTCTACCGCAAATAGTCCCAAGGCCCTTTGGTCTGCGGTTTGGCCCTGGTTGAGTATCATCTTGCCCGTCTTCTTCAGAAGCAGTTGCTTCAGAGGAATTTGATGCTCGTGATTTCTTCTGTTTGGAGTGGTCTGCTACATCTCCTGTATGTTTCCTGCTTTTAGAGCCTAGGGAAAGTGAAGGGCTTCCTTCTGTAGAATCTCCATCTGAGTCGATACGTCTCTTCCCTGTGGGCATGGTAGACTTGTGGGGGGTATTGTTTTCAGACTTTTTACGCCTGCGGCTTTTCAGCCTCGGTGGAGTTTCCATAGTCTAATATGCAAGTTTTAATACGAATCATTTGGATAAGAACTTGGGAAGTTTATCTGACCTGAAATTCATCGTCGTCACTTTCCGTAACCTCTTCTTTTTCTACTGGAGGCAGCCGTATTTTTGATGCACGTTCCTCTTGGTACTTGTCCTTTCTCGCTGCTTGACGAGGCTTGTCAGCGAGACCTGCAGCTAGCTTGTTCCACCAGTTCTCAGGGGCGATGCCATCACTCTGTCGATCAATAGATGAGAATGAGAGCGACAATTCACTCGCAATATGGACACCCAGGTTGTAGTCAGCATCTTTAGCTTGGTATTCATTATTCCATAATTCTTCATCGAATGGTGCAACTCCTTTAATAAGCTTGGACGCTTGAGAATATACGGAATCCTTCCGAGAGAGTCGCACTCCTCCCATGCCAGGAAATACGGTGCTCAGGTCGACGCCAGACGACTCTATTTTGTCAAATAATTTGCTGAGAGCCCAATCTTTTTGCTTCACTTGCCCTATTAGCGACATGATGCGGGTGTCATGGTTCACCTCCCCTTTTAAAATTGGTAGGAGGATGTGTTTAGTCAAAGCATTTGGTGACTGTTGCGAGAGGGTAAACGTCCACCGTAGCGGGTCCAACGGAGCTGGTAGCTTTGTTGATGTACTGAGTTTGAGCTCATTGCCTCCCGTCTCACTTGCTAGCGACAATGAACTGTCCTTGGACCCTCGTAACGCGTCTGAAATTTTCTGTAGGAGAACAAAATATTGTTCATCATCCTCGCTCGGATCGATGCTCGTATTATACTTGGACGCGTTATTGTGGATTTCTTTGCGGGTCAGGCTTTCGGACCATACATAGGCCAAGTCTGTCACGAAAATCTCACACCCCAGATTGCTGGTAAGGTACTTATAGAGAAGAGGAGGAGTAGGGTTGCCACATGGAAGCTGGAGTTTCGACCACTTTGACATATTTTCAGTCTGAACAAAATTTACTTAGCTGTGAAATGTACTGAATAGAAGGTTTATGTGAAGAAAATAAAACCAGCATCATCTTTAGATTGTTTCTGAGGTTGTTCCAAACATCTAGGCATCGCAGGCAGATCAGATCTCAAGGCGATGGCTTAACTAGTTCTGTTACGTATGGAAGGTTTCCCGAACTCGGCTAACCTTCCCAGCTAGGTTAAGCTCAACCGACTGGAACCAGTCCAAAGTTGATCACCGTGTGGCGTCGTCTCCTCTCCACCTCAACAATCAAACATATACGACAAACTCCAAAAATGTCATTCAGAGTCCCCGATAGAACTGGTTCCAAGAGGAGCAGATCGCGCTCCCCGTCGTCGTGGCGCCGCCCTGAGAAATTCTCTCGCCAATCGGACGGAGCCAGCACGGCGAATGGCCGTTCTCGAACCCTCCCTCACAGCGGTGCGTCTGGGCGGTATCCGCGGAGCATGAAAGAACAGACTCAGTTGAACCAGCTCCAAGAAGATGAAAAAATGCGAGAATGGGTGGCCCAAGAGGATGATTTTGTATTAAGGCAGGCAAAGAAGAAGGCAGAGATACGGGTGAAGGAAGGACGCGCAAAGCCAATTGACTGGCTTACGATTACTCTCCGAGTTATAGATCCCACGAGGAATCCCTTGGATGATGAAATAGCAACTTCCGAACTTGATCTAATCGATCCAGAAGGTGTGTTCGAAGGTTTATTACCAGATCAACTACGCGACCTCGAGACAGATATCGATACTTTTTTGACACTGGAGAAGCATCCCAAGAATAGGGATTTTTGGAAGGTTTGTTATCGCATTTGGTCGGTGTTGTTATGGTAGGAGGCTGACTTTCCTATAGACAATGAAAATAGTGTGTGAAGACCGCAGACAGAAGTCACAGCCATTCGGTCCGGAAGGTCGAGCCATGAATTCTGTCGCTGATGATATCAACAGGCTTCTTGGCCCGAAGTCTTACGAAGAGCTAGAAACACTGGAAATCCAAATTCGGCGGAAACTAGATTCCAAAGACCCCATCGACACGGATTACTGGGAGCAGCTCTTGAGAAGCTTGACTGTTTGGAAAGCTCGTGCGAAACTGAAAAAGGTCTATCAAGCTGTCATTGATGGCCGCATCAGCGGGCTTCGGAACCAGCAAAAGGAAGAAGCGGTAGCTGTACAGAAGAAACTTGCACCGTTGGCGCCTCTTTTGGTGGCAAGTAGTGGCCTGCTGCCGAGCGATATCCTGAACAAGGAAACTGTTTTAGACCTTGACCCTGAACCCCTTTTGCACCTAGGAGCACAAGATAAAAGTCTCGATATTCTAGATGAAGAAGCGCTTTTAAGCAAGGTGGTACGTTCAAACCGCTTTAGATCTTATCCCATGGATCGTATCTAACACTATAATAGGCTCTTGATCGCCAAAAGATCCTAAAAATGGGATTTGTCCCTCTGCGACACCGCGCTATAGAGAAAATGTCAACACTAGTTACCGCCCCTTCTGTAGATATTTCTACAGCTCATTTTGCATCCCGGTTTGCGGCGATTCCGAATGAAGATTTCTCCCAGGCAACAAGAGCGTTGTACGAACGAGAAGTGGCAAGAGGAGTCAGCGAGAATGAGGAAATTTTCGCTGGCGAAGAAGCTGTGAGTACAGCTGCGAAGCCAACATGGGCCAACAAGTACCGGCCTCGCAAACCGAGATATTTCAATCGCGTCCAGATGGGTTATGAGTGGAATAAATATAATCAAACACACTACGATTACGATAACCCACCTCCGAAGGTTGTTCAAGGGTATAAATTTAACATATTCTACCCCGACCTGATCGATAAAACCAAGGCTCCGACCTACAAAATAGAGCGGGAAAACGGCAGGAAACGTGGCCAGTCATTTGCCCCAGCTGGCGAAGAGGATACATGTCTTATTCGATTCATTGCTGGTCCTCCTTACGAAGACTTGGCGTTTCGGATAGTGGACAAGGAATGGGATTACAGCGCAAAGAGAGAAAGAGGTTTTAAGAGCAGTTTTGACAAGGTATGAATAACTGAGCGTGGCATTTACTACCTACGAGTTTAGTCCAATATTAACTCTTCCTAGGGAATTCTTCAACTTCATTTTCAGTTCAAAAAGGTATGAGAGTTAGATCCCCATTTCGCTTACATGTACCGAACTAACATGGATTTTGTAGATATATTACCGCAAATGATCGTTTCGTTATGCCACGATTGGGGATGCAGAACTATGAGTATGACATTTCTCGTTACACAGACCTGCCGTTCTGTAAGTCTGGGTCCCACATGGGTCATAAGATGCTGTTGGAGGAAGTGGTGGAAGCTACGGCGGGTCACTTACCTGGGTTGTGCTGCTAAATGTCGAAGAATTCAGCTTTATCGGGCCAGGCATTACAAGCCATTGTTATGACGATAACGCATAATGTTACTATTCTCTGGTTGAATGTGACACGAAATATTTGATGACCCACTCAGCTCCTGTCGGAATTTATACCCAACCACGCGATGCTGTCAGGTCGTGGGGCTTGTCTACCATTTATAAACAAGAACGGTTGAGGCTTCTGTGCCACATAACTCCCCAGATCTCATGTGGTCATCAGCCAATAGGAAATTTGAGATATCACATATTTCAATTAGAAACCTGTATTTCTGAGCCATGCTGAGTTCATAAAGGACGTGATGCATGCATGGTCGATTTCCCGGTGACAGTCCAGCTACAAAAGAGTTTGAGGACTCTTCGGTGAATCAACCATTAGGATAACCAGATTTTGTTTTAGGGGCAAAAAGAAAAACGAAGATGAGGAAGGCAGAACAATAAATATATTTTGGTTTGCTTGACAGATAATGATTTTCCTTCAAGACCAATCCCAGCCAAATCCTAGCTTCAGGCGCTCTTCCAGATCGTCAGTGATCGGCCACAGGTTACCATTCCTATATTTCTTATCAAAAGCAACTATTGACAGGGCAGCTCCGGCACGTACCCGTTTTGCAACCAATGCGACTGATTACCGAGCGAGCTTGCTTGCTTGCTTGACACATTTCAAAAATCTAAATCTTGGCGATTCCTGGGCATTAATTGGCCCTGCAGCATGTTCCACAAACGTTTGCTTCTCAGGAAAGTATGATTGCCATGGTCTCTCATATTTATCATAGTCCGTGCTTTGTTTGCCTTAGGGAGCCTATTTGTACAGGTTGTCTGCAACAAAGTTGCTCTAACTATATGCGCTGGCACAAGCAAGTATTAATAGGTTTAACTATGCATTGGGCTGCCTGAATCCTCTTTCCGGAAATGCGCTGCTGTTCTCCATATCTTTGTCTCACAGAGTCTGTTTCTAGAAGTCCAACAGTTAATACTCACACCTTTCCGAGACCCATTGACCCCGCTGACTTCATCATCATTTAAGACATGCGAATTAAATTGTTAGGTTAGCTTTAATCAAAGAAAGAACGCCACAATGAGAAACTACAGTGATTACCATCATTTCGAACCGCGAAGTCCAGGGGCACAATATCCTCTCTTTGAGACTACTCCGGTCTATAGGACGCCTCCACTGGAGCAGTCTGTGTCCTTCACCGACACCGCCCGGCCTAGAGACTTCGTTAATTCTTCATCATGTTCTAATTCGGTATCAAATTATAACGACTTGTCGCACCTAGATCCGAATTTTCCGCGACATCCAAAACCGGTTCAAAGTCCATCGGCTCTACTCCAGCATCCATGCCCGCTCGCCATGGCTCCGAGTTTTACCCCTGACTCCAATTACACTAATTACGCTTGCAATCTCGATTCTAGAAGCTACAGTCTTCTAGTTGAAAATACTACGACTGAGTCACCACTGACTGCCTCCAGGTTCAGCCAGAACCGTGCGGCAGCTGGTAGTGAAAACTTCTGCCAGTCGCCGTCATATCCCGAGCTTTCACCAGCCTATGGAGAGAATATTCCCATTTTACCCCTCCAATTTCATGATGAACAGCAAGCACCATCGCGTCAGCAATTTACGTTCTCCCATCTACGGGAGCCATCAATGGAGCGCTTAAGTCCGAACCTAGGGGCCACTGGTTTTCCATGGTCGCCAGAGCCTTCGCGCGTGTCTAGCCCATCGGAAAGGTCTAGTAATGTGCAGTTTAGTCCAGAGGCCACGACGGCTTCCACAGGCCACAATTTGTCCGGTGGAGAGACTGATGATGAAAAGTCGGATGAGCCCTACTCCAAACTGATATGGCGAGCACTTCAGTCTGTTCCTGACAATAAGATGGCTCTGAAAGAGATTTACGAATGGTTCGAAAAGAACACGAAGAAGGCAAGGAATTCGGATTCGAAAGGCTGGCAGAACAGCATAAGGCATAACCTTTCAATGAATGCGGTAAGTTTACTCCCCCTGTGTTTTGCCCTCATACCTTTCAAATATCTTCTTACTTACTGACTCTATCATAGGCATTCGAGGGTGTGAAAGATACCTCATCTCCTGATGGAACCCCAAAGAAAACGGCGAATGTATGGGTCCTTACCAAAGAAGCTCTCCAAAACGGAGTGCAGTCAACGACAAGATACCGAAAATTGGGGACACACAAAAAGTCTTCAAAATCAGAACATCCGGCTCCTCAACGCCAAAGCTCTGGGGCGAAAGGCGGCAAGGCTGCCAAGAGAAATGCCAAAATGAGGCGTGTTAACCAGGAGCCTCATGTGGAGCAAACGGCTAACAGGGGAGTCGCTGGCTGTTACTACCAACCCCGGGATGACAATATTGCGATTCGTAACCTTCATTACCCTCACCAGATATTTTCTGACCATTCAAACGGTTTCGCATCGGATAGCTTTGGCCTCCAGAGTGTGATCGACACGCATCCGGACTCGGGGTTGGGCGACAATAGCTCTTTTTCCTATCCCTTATTTCCAGAGAGCAATGAATTTAACCTTGTCTTAACGACACATGATGTAGACTTAAATTGAACGAATCAACTTGTGCTATTTTGTGCCAGTTTTGATCCCCCCTCTTTCAACGGCATGATGTACTGTACATTATTAATTCCCTTTTTCCCCCTTTTTTTGGTTTATCTTTCCTTGGCGCACATATCAAGTTCGCGACCGCTTAACTCTCGAATTTTTTTTGGCTCTACTGGCTTTGGGTTAGGTTTTCTCCTGGCGGGACGGTTAAAGTATTTCTAGGGTTGGTGTGTATTTTCATTGTTTTTACATCGCTGATGATTTGCAGGTTGCTTGGAGTTGATATCCTTTTTTTTTTCCTGATTATCATTCCGCACTATGATCGACACGGCCCGTTTCCTTTGAGTGCAATTCACAGCGTGTACATTACAATAGACGGGATGTTTACAGAATTTGTTGTGCATCCCCTGTTTTCTGACTGAAGAATATCGATTTTAGCTCTTTTGCATATAACTTTATTTGTCCTTTTCATTTTCATTTTCCCTTCTTTTCCTAACATCCATGTGTGTTTATGTTTGTTGTCAGTTTCATCCATAGCAGTCAACCCTTCGTCTATAAGGCCCAAAGGGAGGGTGTGGTAAAGTTGGGCAGCACCTTGACGGCAGATCTCTAACAAATGAAGCGGTATTTCCGAAGATTAATATCTCGGCTCCGCGTCAAGAAGTAATCTTGGGTATGTGGGAGTGGATATATTATTACCATATATTATCACCACCGCACTATGAAGAGGCTATTGGTAATTCCCCGCCTCAGGGCTTTCTGTGGACTGTTTGCCCTTGGGGTCCAGGGATGGTGCCCTAGTATCCCAACATCCTGTCTACTCCGTAACTAGCGTGTCCGATCAACGTTTTCGCACGCCAAGCATCGGGGGTTGGACCCCAGCTGTCGGAGCAGCGTTCGATCCCCAACTACATCATTTTGGATCTCATGCTGCTATGACGTATCATAAAGGTTGCTTTGCTACTGTTCTCCAGGCCACTTTATTACATCGTTGGGAGGTAGGTAAGCACCGTCCAGACACGTATTCTGGGGGATAGGCTTTGGACCATCAATCCCTGCAAGTGGTCTGAGAGCCCTTGCTGCTTCTGAGCCAAAATGGGTTCACCGGGTCCGTTGATCATCCACAGTACGGCATACGGCTGGGGCTGATATTCCAGAAATCCACAGAGTCACCCTCGCTCGATCCATCCCCAGACTTGCCGCGCCCACGTTCATACCTGACTGGCTCGGCTTTCCCATCCGCGACTTTGCATGAATCCCAAATTTATGGCGAGGGACAACAAAGAAAATGGGCGGGGGGAAGCGGTTTTGTCAGTGATACCCGCGCGTCGAAGAAATGGAACTGCGTCGAACTGCGGGGATGATCGTTTAAATTCTGTGATTTAGACCTGATTGGGTATAAATTCATAATATGTGAAAGGCGGCGCCCAGGGCAGGATGTCGTTACCGTTGATCCGAGAGCCGGTAATTTCACCATTTCTGAGGATGGTTCAGGACAATGTTGAAAAGGCTCAGACGCCCTATCATAGCACACGTCTGGGCAGTGGGCACCAAGCGGGGAGATCACAACCACTAGATACGATCTACCAGTTACATACAGGCTAACCACAGAACCCTTTGGGCCCCGTTGCGTTAAAGCTGGCGTTTTAGGTTGTTACACTACCTGGTACGAATCACCATTAGCGCATGAGTACCCGGGGGCACATGTACAGTACCTACATAACCAATTCTAGATGGGCTTGGTAATTTTTCACCTGGCTGCTGTCTAGCCCACGGTTACTTAGAATTAGCTAATAGAGGAATTAATTTGAAGCCATTCCCCCCATTACCATGCAGTTCGTGACAATTTAGTGTTATGAAAGAGGACTATTATTCTTCCATCGCCACATCTCACTTGGAGGGCTTGGAATTCAACTAATGCGAACATACTGCCATATCACTCACTGGCTTGCAAAGGGGATGATCCATTTTGGAATCACATTTCCACTTTTTGCATTCAGAGCTTGCGCATCTGGTTTACTCGGTTGCCGGGCGGGGACCCCTACCTTCAACAGAGCAGCAATTCACACCGTCATTAGGGTAATATCGCCATTATACTCCCGTGGGAAATCCACTATGTTGGTTAATTAACTATGTCTTAAACATACTGACATAATTACAGCAACATATACTAGGAAATACCTCATTGATCGACTTTATAGATCTGGGAGGTTGGCAGAGTGTGGCATACAGCACCGGAAGCGACTATCGCAAGGCTCTAAACGCAATTTTACATAGCTCGCGTACATTAGTGGTCTTTTAAGGGTCATAGCATTACCTAGGTTGTGCCCATACTTAGATTGTCGCATCAAAAATATCATGGAGAATCAACTGTATTGGTTGGTCTAGAACGTCATAGACATCGATCATCACGGCTTTGCACGGATTCATGTATTGTAAAATTTAGTATGAAAATGATGTTCATTGACTGTCAGGTTTCGTAGTAACAAAGGGGGAATTGAGCTTTAGGATCCCAATTTATTGAAGCTTGCTCCTAATACTCCATCTCCACAGCGAGGTTGTAGTTTCCAATTGCCGCCATAAACGTCTCTGACGCGCCTATACGACATTTCTATTGGCTTAATGGCCACGAAAGGCCCACCTTTAAGCAAAGGGTTTTCGGGAACGGGAGATCCGTGGCTAATGTTATTTTAGTCTTTGGCACGGTGGCGCTTCCACCTTCCCCGACAAAGCCATATGCATGAACAGATGGGAATCGGTATTGCATCCTCGAAAAGTCCAGCGATCCGATCCTCAATGATTTTTTATATATTGAACACTGGTTTAGCGGTGCGCAAGACGAATCCTTGGCTGCAGCTAGGGCTCATAGCGGCCCATCCCGGAGATCGCTGCTACCATTCGCTGGCGGACGGATGTGATGCATAATAAGCTTTTCACGAAATTTCGACTGCGATCCGATCCCCTTTTCTCTTCGCGCAAGGCAGAGAGCTTCAACACTAACACAAAATAAAACCATGGTGATCATCTGAGGGAAAATGTTGGCCTCCGAAATTGGCGCAGTTATATAAATGCCAGAGCTATACTATCCATCCCATCCTGCCAAACAATTAGACTGACCGTGTGACCGTGTCTGGGACCAGGACCAGATTTTTTGATAGTCTCATTACCAATTCGACTGATCCCATTACACGGTTTTAACATTAGATAGTAGTCCCATACTGTCCCAGTGGGACTTACTGTCTACTCTTGTCACATTTTTCAAATGGGACCATGATTTCCACTTCTCAATTTAAATTATTTTTATTGCTTTAAATGACTTTAAATCTCATTTAAGCATTATCAAAAAGTGTTACTTTTTAAAAAATTAAAAATAGTCTAAAAAAAACCTTAAAATGTCTAAAAATAGTAACTTTATGCCAAGAATGGGACTAAATGAGACCAAATGGGACCACTTTCTCATTTTTTTCAAGTCATGGTTCCATTTTAAGATCTGATATATAGTCACTTTACATGTTTTTTTGATAGCCAGTCCCAGCGGGATTCACGCCAAGAAATGTATGGGACCAGACCAAATGGGACCAAATGTGAAATTCATGGTCCCGGCGGCCAGTCTACAAACAATACGTCGTATAGGTGATATCATAGGAAATAATAGTGGCACGGATTCAGTGCTGAGAATATCTATTCTACCCATCTGCTCTTAATATGAAATAAAATGTCAATCAAGTATTCATTATATCTTTACATACATGATTTAGATAGCTAAAAATCAATAGGAAATATCTATATATATTTCCTTCTTTAATATTTATAGTTGATTCATTCTTGATTTTAATCACAGTCTGTAATTTTTATAAAATTAATTGTATTAAAGTCTGTATCTTCTTCTATATAATTGAATCTTATATCTTTTATAATTCTTTTCTCATCTTTGTTTCAGACTATATTCTATATTTAATCTTTAAAATTCACTGTTTTATAATTACTCTGAGATTCTCTATAGAATTTAAATCAGAGTTTTATATAGATTAATTTATTCAGTTCAGCTATCAATTTTTATTCAATTTTTTATCAGTTTTTAATATCTAGTATTACTGTATTATTCTCTACTCAAAGAGCAATTTTACATTTCTCAAAAATATAAATATAAGTGAGAATATTCAAAAAAAGTATAATTTTAATATGCTTTTTAAAATTTATTCAGATATTAAAATAAATATAAAATTTTCAGTTTAATTTATCTGATATTAAAAAAACTCTTCAAATTTTCTTATATATAGGCTTTAAATAACTTTCTTAGAGATTTGAAAATATATTATTTTACAGTATTTTAAAGATGTAAAAAAGATGAATAGAGCATAAAAAAAATAAATATTTCTCTATATAAAGAATAAGATATAATTAATTATAAGTAGAGAGTGTAGAACATCTTTTAGATTATTTTTTCAAGTTTATATATTCTTCTTCTTTCTACATTTTCATAATAGATAATAGAGAATATAATAGAGCAGAGTAATTTCAAAGTCCGAGTAATAGATAGAAATGAATATTCCTGTTCATATAATAGCTGGAAAATGCTCTTTACACAATGTTCTTGATTTGAAAGGCATATTTTGGCCTATAGTGTGGATGTTGAGTGGTTGAGGAATCAAGGAAGAACTTCAAAGAAGAGGGGTATGGTATATGAGGGGATGCTCGGCACTGAGCCCCTAGTACACTAACTTCTTGGACACTACTATACGTGCACATGTACCTTGAGACCATGATATCTATGTGTCTGCAGAATGCTGCTTCCCGCGGGTAAAATGCGAGGCATACAAAAGGGCATACCAGCTGCTGTATGTTGGTGCTCCCCTTTCACAATTACCCATGGATGTTCCCTTTTTACCCAAAATAATTATTTATCCGGGACCAGTTCCTTCTTTGCCACAGAGTTGAGGAAGCCAACGGGGACATCGCTGACGGTCACAGACCAACCTCATTGCATCGGTTTGGGAATACGGGATAATTGATCTGTGCGTAAAGAGAAACAAATTCCAGCTATGTAACCGACAGCTCAAGATACAATAGCCGTTCAAATTGCTTGCATTACCTTGCATGTCTTTAAGACATAGTTGCATATTAGCAAGCTGTCATCTGTCAATTTCCCATGCGCAGATAAGTAGCTGTACTCCTCAATGGTCGCGTTGTAAGTATTGCAAGTAAAGCGTCCCACATTTCTATGCAAAGGAAGGGTGACGCATCAATGTTGGCTTTCTGCAGTAGGACTGTTGTGGTAAGGCTGCGACCACTGCACAAATAAAGCAGGGCTACTATTTCATTCCAGGTTCACAGTTACCCGTCCTCCCGGGGATGCATAGACCAAGCCTGGCATCTGCTTCACCAATACCTGTGAGGCTAGCCCTGCATCGTTTTGCATGGTAGCCTCAAATTAGAAAACACCGAGCCTCACGGAACTAAACTAGTTTTTATTGTCGCTGTAGTCACCCGCTGGGATGTACGACACTTATCCTCAACTGAAATATTCCTGAAGCCGGACAGGGCGCGAAAGATTACACACTGCGTGGTGTTGATATCATCAAAAACGTCCACGGGTAGGGTGAAACAATTCGAAAAAGTTGGGACTTCGCGAGCATTGGATATTTTTGGGTTGCACAAAATTTTCCTGGGACTGGCAACGACGTAGCTCTAGGATGGAAAATCTGAACCTTGATATATCCTACGACAATAAGGGTTGTCTTGACTTGTACGAACCTGGACCGGTCTCACAGTACGACTGTGGTTTTTCTGTAATGGGAATAAGACATCAACTACCTAGCTAGATAGCTGATTGGTCGACTGTTGAGGAACTCATATGCGTTGACTGCCTATCTCCTTGCGAGAAACAGACAAATAAGCCCTTAGGAAAAGAAGGGTTGGAAAGGAAACATTGTTAGTCGGAATCAGAAGGGGCGAATAACCGGAAATGTGAAATATCAGTGAATAGAGAAGCTGAATCATAGGATGAAATGACGTTAAATTTATTTTTGAATGTATATGTGATGGATTGAAAATTTGCCTACACTTCTATCTCGGCGGAAACCTGGGGACATTCCAGAACCAAGCAAACTCAACCCATCATTGACTGGAATAAGATCACATCAATGGCACAACAGAAAACAAAAAAAAAAAAAAGGAAAAAGAAAAAAGAAAAATCACAGCCATGACTGACCCTTCCGTATGTCGTGGTTTCCCGCCATTTTCGTCCCTCGGAACGCCGGAACAATCGAACAATATCCACAGCAACTTCCCACCTCCCACCTTCACTAGATTAACGCTTCTTCGACGAAGCAGCAGCCTTTTCTTGTGATTCCTTCAGCACCTTCTTCACGATCTTCTGCTCCTCGATAAGGAAAGCACGGACGATGCGGTCCTTGACGCAACCACCGCAGCGGGAGCCGCCATAGACACGGGACACAGACTTCTTGGGTCGGGAGATCTGAGAATATTCGCGGGGTCGGAGGGCGGGAACCTGATGTTTTTAAAAAAAGAAGAAACAAGATCAGTAACCTGGCGATAGTTCTAGCGTGCCGTACGTAATCCGAATCGGAATTTTCCAGTGTCCTTTATCTGGGTTGAAAAGATGTCCGTCCAAACTGTTTCATACACATCTCCCCCCGATTTGATGCCAAAAAATGCCAAAAAATGCCACAAAAATATAGGAACTCGCTAGATGAGACTCACGCCTGGGAGTTTGATACCGCAGTCACCGCATTTTGGCGCTGTTCCCTTCTTCTTGATGTGAAGGTATCGGAGCTTGCCTCCTGGGGTCTTGATGATGCGGACTTTGTTTGACCGTGTGTTGTACCTGATTCACCCATTTGTCAGAACCACCATCTATGTTATAAATTCCATCCACCAAGGCGATAGATTTCGCAGCGGTTCGAGATGGAGAATTTGTACATACGGATTCCGTCGTCGCTATCCGGAGAAAAAGTAAATTAGTTTTCTGTAGCTATCGTAGCGATTATCCATTTCACTTACGTATTGAAGTCTGGTATTTGCCATTGTGACTGTCCTCTAATCGCTGCTGTCGCTAAGCTCTGGCTCGGGGAGATGGCGCGTCGTTGTCGTTGTCGTCGTCTGGCTTTTCAACGTTCGATTCGATTTTGTGTGTGTGTTGCATGCAAATTCGGGACGTACGCTAAACGATTTGGCGAGAAGACACTAATCTAAATATGGATTAGCGGATTTCGTACTTCAGCCGCCACCTGGAGGATTTCTTCCAACGCGTTGCTTCAGATGTCGAAGGATGAACAAACATCCCAGTCTTATCCACGCGGGAGACCTTCTGATCTACTCTGTCGCGTTGGAATCTTTGTTAATCATTACGGCGCATTTGGATGTTTTCCTGGACATCGAAGACATTTGTTTACTGATGGTGAAGCTGGACGTAACCTGCATTTTCGCCTGAGTTGCCATCATCAGCTAGAGGCGAGGTAGACTTGGTTATTTG